TAAAATAATATTTTAAATAATATTGTTATTAAATAACTAATTAAATATTTTTTATAGAATGTCAATAATAAAATTTTACAAACCTGTAAAACTGTTTTGTCAACATTATCACATTTACAAAACTGTAGTAAGTATTAAATTTATTTAAATATTTATTATATTTTAATATAAAATTTATAATTTTTAAACATAATTTATTTGAATTTAGAGTTTTACCATCCAGGAGAAAATAATACTATTGGTTGTCATGGAAAAATTATTCGCATTCAATGTCAAGTTAATTTTATAAAATTAATTCCACATAATCTTAATGAATGTCCATTTGTAATTTTAATTTGCCATGGAGTTTATAATCATCTACTACCTCCATCAGCAAAAATTTCTACAAGTATTCAAAATCAGTTAATTATTTATTGGAAAATACTTCTAATGAATATGAAAATATAACTTTAAAAAAAATTTAATCAGGTATATTTTTAATTATATTTAATTAAATTTTTAATTTTTATAATTTAAAATTTTAATTACTTTTATAATTATTAGGAAATATATTAAAGGCTATATTTGAAAAAGAATATCTTTCTGAAATACATAGTTCTTTAAACAATATTGATCATTTAAGATATCTTATTAATAAATATCAAAGAAAAAAATACCCATATGGACAAGGTATTTTAAGTTTAGTTTATAATATATGGCAAGAAAATAATGAATTTTCAGATTATCTTCAAGAAATTGGTAATATATTATATAATATAATATATATTTTATTTTAATTGTTGTATTTAAAATAAATTTATTTATTTTTAGAAACTTTTAAAATGGTGGCATTGTAGTAGGACCCCAGACATCTCTCATATAGGTCATAACTGATCTGCATAAATTTGGTGGGTTTTCGCTATCCCTAAAATCAAATGAATTTGCTAAAAATTCAATATGACATATAAATTTTATAGTAATTCGCTGAAAATTCAATTATTACATATATATTTATAAAAAAAATAAATTTAGATGTAGTTTTGAGTGCTGAAAAAGTTTACTTATAACATAAAGTTATAATCAATTAGTAAAATTTTGAGAATCATAGTATTTTTTAGTATTTTTATTAATAAAATTATATA